CTCTCCCTCTTTTATCCCTCCCTTCCCCTCTCTCTAAAACTAAATAAATAAAATCTTAAAAAAAAGAGTCAATCCCTAAATAAATAAACAAATAAATCTGGTTTACCTAAAACAAAAAGATTTCACATGCAATTATTTTCCTTTATGCCTACATTAGTATTTGTTGTCTTTTTGTGAGTTCTGTAATAACTCACAAACTCCTCAGATCAGTCTACACTTTTAAATATTCAAGTTTCATTTATCATTTACCATTTTTAAAGATACTATTTAATTAGACACTGAATTCCACAATTTAGGTCTTGCTTAGGAAATTAGGTTTAAAAGTAACTGTTTACACAGGTTTGATATGTGAAAATAGATATTGCATGTCACCAGGTTTCTTTGTATTAATAAGTTAAAAGTTGTTCTGGTCTGTCTCACTGTTTCTCAGCCCCACTACTACCTAAATCTAAGGGCAAGATGAAAAGTTCAAAATGTGAGAGCCGTATACCTTATTGTGGTGTTGGATGGTATCATTCGTTCCATTTTACATATGAGAAAACTAAGGCTCAGAGAGGCAAACTATCTAAGTGGGTTAGCTTCCAGACTCACAATCAATTCCCCAGTCTCTAGAAATGCTTTATGTCTCTGAACCCCACTCCCACTCATTGTCGAAGTTGATTGGTCCAGGACCAGACATATGACCCAAGCCAAGCCAATCAAACTTCTCCAAGGATCTTTGAAATTGGAATTGAGGGGAGAAACAAGGACTTCTCTAATAGTAAAATTATGACCCATGAGGCACAAGGGTTACCAGAAGCTATGATCTCCTATGGGAAGAAAGCTGAACTGAATACATAAAGCCAGTACATGGGGTCAGGGACAAAGAGGAGAGAGTGTCCTGGGGGGCATTTAAGTCTCTGAGTTCGGTTACCTCCAAATCTAGATGCCTTAGGATCTTTCCACTGGATTCCCCTTTTCGCCTAAGCTGCATCAAGCATCTTTATATAGAGGTCTGGTTTGGAGGGTCTAACTCCTCAGCCCATGCTCTTTTTGCTGCAGGAGATCAAGGTCACCTGCTTGCTCAGATCTTGTCTCTGCCCAAACGGGAATGGATAGCACAAAGTTACCAAACCCTGCCCTTCTACTCGTGTGATTCACACACATATTCAGCCTCAACCTAACCATGGCATGTGGGAAACTGGTGTCTACTGTTTTACATTTTGAGATGACACGTGCACCTGAGGGTATGGGTTTGGAAGGAAATGCTACACTCCCAGCTATGTGTCTGTACTGGATTTGGGTGACATGGTGAATAATCAGCCCCATGAAGCCACACCCAGGCAAACTCATACAGACTTGGAAGGATGGGAAAAGAAAATAGAGGAAGTGGAAAATCTGAATTAAAGGCAATGGTAACAGGCCTTCACGTGGTTCTGTCGTTAGCAGCTTCCCAAGGACTTTTCCAAGTACTATCTTGTTTTGAGTCTCATGGAATCTCTGGAGGGATAGAGAGCAGCTACAGTATCGCCTACATGTTACAGAGAAGGTTGTGAAGATGCCTACCACAGTGGCTACCCAACAAACCCATTCATTCGTTCATCACAGGTGCTACCGATGCTCCGCGACCATCTGATGAGTGAGCATGCGTAGCTCAGGGGCATGAAGGGACTTGTCCAATGTGACACAGTTAATAAGGGGCAGCAGAGGCACCTACACTTGAGTTGTCTGGCTCTGCACTTCACTACACAAGCTGTGTTTGAAACTGGGCGATTCCGACCCTTTCATGAATTCACACGTTAAACGTGACCTCAATTCCCCACTGCAAGAGAGAGGCACTTCTCGCGCCCCCAAGTCCTGTAGAAAGTTCTTCAAATAAATGCTCACCAGCCCTAGAAACAATGAGATCCTCCAGCATTGAGAGGCCTTGCTACTCTGTGACCCATGGACATGAACAAGGGTAGAGGGATTGCTTGAGGGAGTGGGGAGTGCTGGGTGGAAGGGTGGGCAAGGGGGGAAAAGTCAGGAGAACTGTAATAGCATAATCAGTAAAATATAATTTTTGAAAAAAGAAAAAAAAAGGACAGGTCTTGCTACTCAAACAAACTGTTTCAGAAATCAATGGCTTCATAGAAACAAATGTTCAAGGAAAACAGGATGATCACCTTGGGAGCTAGTGAATGATTCATGGGTGAGACACGCAACCCCAACTCTTTTTTGTGGGTGTCATGAAGCTAATTCAGGAAGACAGGAGGATGTTTTCTGTGGTGGTGAAAACTTTGCTCTTTTTTTTAAAGTTTTATTTATTTATTTTTAGAGAGGAGGGAAGGGAGGAAGTAAGAGGAGGGAAAAATATTGATCCTTTGCCTTTTGCTCGCCACCAACCGGGGACCTGGCTGGCAGCCCAGGCCCACAGGCACCCTCACCAGGTGTCAAACCGGTGACCTCTCAGTTCACAGACCAGCACTCAGTCCACTGAACCACACCAGCCAGGGCTACCCTACTCTTCTATACGGAGGCCAGGCCAGCAGTTTGTTTGTTTTTTTTTTTAAAGGTACTTCTCCCACTGAGCACATGAAGATGATTGAGGTCTGTCATTGTTTTATTCCCTTGTCACCAGAAGACTATCAGTTCAGAAATCACATGCAGAAACTAGATCAGAATTTAAACGGGGGTGGAAGCGCTGCTGTCACGGGGAATCCCCTCCAGCTGAAGTTGCAGAAACTCTGTGGGCAGCCCCTGAGAGACACTGTCTCCACCACCCCCAGCACCTGGCAAAGGCCTCTGTTCCCCGGGCGGGCTGGATCAGCTGGCTGGGAATCTCTTCCCCAAATATGCCTTGGACGATCAGATTCCTGGCTAGATGCCAGCCAGACTGGGTCCTGGAGAAATGAATGGGTTAGTCCTCAAGGAGAGATGCTTTCCTGCTTGGGGCTGTCCCTGCAAGATCAGCTGGGATCAGCATGGGATGCCCCTGGACTGTGGGGAAAATGAGAACTCAGATTTACCCCAGGTCTCAGGAGGTCATTCGAGCCTGCAGTCCAGTGAACAACTGTGGGTGCAGGGCCAAGCGCCAGGGGTGGATTTGGGCTGGTGGCGTTTAGCCCTTGGAAATATGCCCTCGGGATGTTTATCATCCACAGGAGAGTTCGATCACACTATGATTGTTTATTCATTGAATAGACATTCATAAAACCTCTACCAAGAACAGGTATTGGGAAAAGGGACAGGTATTGGAAAGTGTTCTCAAACAGGGGCCTCTTAGAATGGCTAACCCTCGGTCGATCACCTGAAACGTCAAGTGAAGAAGAAACTGGATTGTAAACTGCGCTGGTCCCCCGAGGATGATGAGCGAGCCGTCTGCACGGAATTTATCGATGCTCACCAAAGTCACCGATTTCGAAATCAGAGGCCAAGCCGACTGTTTGTAAAGTGGATGAAGTCTAGAAGGGCTCCGGCCGCAGTGGATGCAGGCACTGGGGGCTCAGGGCGCTGTGGTCGGTCGGTGGCCCTCACTGACGGCCTGGGCAGGGAGCTCTAAGTCAGCTTCTCAAGAGATCAGCAGTTGTCTTAAATTTTTATCTTTCAGTATTTGGCAATGGCCATCTAATTTTTAATTCTTGTTTTTAAGAACTTATCAACAGGCATGTGCCCTGACTGGGAGTCGAACTGGCAACCCTTTGGTTCACAAGCCGGCGCAGCATTCAACCCACTGAGCCACACCAGCCAGGGATATGGTTTAACATTTTTATAAGGGAGTATCCAATATTTTTAATTTTTTAATTATTTTTTAAAAATTCTATTCTTCAGTCTCTGTGGAGTGATGTCATTCAGCATCTGTCCCATATGACTATTGCATGGACCATTAATTACCTAGTGCGCTTGCCCTTGAACTTAATAGGCTTTAGCGAACCGTGATTCCAAGGTCCCCTCCTCGACCACAGTTGTGAAGAGGAAATGTTCTGGGCTTTGACCTCATCATAGGTGAATGATTCACGTGGTTGTATAAGCATCACTTCCTAGAAACAGTGCTGAGCACAGACCTGGGAGACAATGCCACGTTTTTAATGTACTTTCTGACCTTCCTAAAATATATTGTCAGAAGAAATTGAGCAGGGCCTGGGATGGAATGTTATTGTTTAATGAATACAGAGTTTCAGATCTGCAAGGTAGCACAATACTGTGAATGCACTTCATGCCACTGAACTATACACTTAAAACGAGTTAAGATGGTAAGTTTTGTGTATGTGTATTTCAGCACAGTGTTTTAAATGCACGCAGATAGCTACCCTTCCGTTCCACTTCATTTACTAATCATACTTCATATCCATGAAATCAGGGTTTGCTTGTTGTGGTTTTTTTAAGCAAGTGGTAAGAAGAAAATAAAACAAAAACCAAAACCTGCCCCCCCCCTTCCAATTTTTTTAGTGCATTCTTTCTCCTGTGCAGAATCACGGGCAGCTACAGGCTTTTGGAAGATTAGGGCCGCTCCTTCTCCAGAACAAAATAAAAAGTCCTTCCTGTCTTACCTGGCTCTAAAAAGATCTTTTCTCTTTCTTACATGGTACTATTTTTAAATATCTTATTTGTTTCTTTTTAGAGAGAGGGCAAGGGAGAGAGAAGGAGAGGGAGAGAAATATCGATGTGTGGGTTGCCTTTCACGGGCCCCCTACAGGGGACCTGGCCCACAACCCAGGCATGTGCCCTGACTGGGAATCAAACTGGTGACCCTTTGGTTTGCAGGCTGGTGCTCAATCCACTGAGCCACACCAGCCAGGGCTCACAGTACTATTTTAAAAGGAAAGATTTTTGCAGGACACCAGGAAGGGCGCCATGAGTAAAAGACCAGGACAAGTAAAAATTAATTGTGATCCCTTGGGGATGACAGAAAAACGACACACCGAGGTGAACAAAGTGAAACAGCGGTCCTTCCAGCGGGGCCTGGGCACTGACGCGCTAACGGCTTCTCCAGGAGCACCCACCTTCTGGCAGGTAGGTCATCGTTTCCTGTTACCCGTCAGTCACTGATTACCATCCAACTGTCCGGCTAAGTCACGGAACAGATGCCTGACTCCCGCCGACTCGGAAAAAGCAGGGATGTTCGGCAAGTTCTGCACGTTCAAAAGAAGTTTACTGATTGCAGGAGGGTGACCTTTCTGGTGAGTGAAAGGGGCAGTAGCTGGCGCTCAGTCCCTTATCCTGATTTCCCATTTGAGTCTGAGCAGATGACAGATCTAGAAAAATGATTCTGTCCTCAAAGATTCTGGAAAAATTGTAAATAGAAAAACACTCCTGTTTTAAAATGTTGAGCCCCAGACGGGTGGCTCTGTTGGTCGGAGTGCTGCCCCGCACACCAAAAGTTGGCGGCTTGATTCCCCATCAGGGTACATACCTAGACTGTGGGGTTTGGTCCCATGTTGGGGTGCAAATGGGAGGCAAGCGGTTGATGTCTCTCACATCGATGTTTCTAAAATCAATAAATATATTTTTAAATTTTAAAAAATATTTTTGGGGGCCAAGCACAGGCAGAGGTGCACATTCCCTTGCCCACCCAACGAAGGCCGGCTGCTTCTGTGGCTGCAAGGGTTCTCCTCCTTTAACCTCCTTGAGCCTCGATGTTGCCATCTGTAAAGTGGGGGAATAGTGCCTGCCTCACATGATTGGGCTTAGGATTGAATGAGTTAACACGGGAAGAGTGACTGGCACACAACCTGGCTATGGCAGCCAGCCAGTGTTAGAGGTGACACCACTGTCACCGTCATTACTTTTATCATTGCGGTTATTCCCAATTGTGTCCTTGCCTCAGTCACAGCCAGCTCTCTGCCAACCCCATTGTCTCTCAGTCAGTACTTATGGTTTTGACTTGGAAACATTTTCCTTGGCTTCTGTTTCTGTCCTCTTCACAGATTTTCTCCGTATCTTCCCCAGTTAGCTGTCACAGGGAGAGCCTTATGAGGTCCTCTGCGCAATTCCTGTCTTGTTAGTGATCACCGAACTGGATGCCACACGGGCTAGAGGTCATTGTGACTCACAGCATGGCTGACTTTGAACACCTGTCTCCGAGAGGCAGAAGTGAGGTGACCAAGCACCCCAGGTTGCCTGGGGCTGAGGGGTTCCCAGAATATGGGACGTGCAGTGCCAAATCAGAAAAGTCCTGGGCAAATCAGGACAAGTTGATCCCCACAGGCGGAAGAGCATAATGTGGGTTCTGGAGTCTGATCCTGCCACTTCCTAGCTGTGTGACCTTGGACAAGTCACCTAACCTCTCTGAGCCTCAGTCTTCTCCCCTGCAGGAGGGAGACAAGTACTTACACAGGGTTGTCCTGAAAGTAATGAGTTAATAAATGTAAACAGCTCAAGATAGTGCCTGCCATCTCACCTGTGCATGCCACACGTCACCTATGACTGTTCCAAAGTTGTGTGACATCAAAGTATAATCCAAATGTGCAATGAAACCTCTGTTGACCAGAAACGACCCAACCTGGATCTTCAACTGAACACGTTGTGGCTTTCTTAGTACTTCCCTTTCAGCTGGAAGTACAAAAGCAGAACAAGCCAATATTTTGTTCCCCCCAAATGTAAAGCCCAAGCTTAATCTTTGGTGTCATGCAGGTCTTAGACCAAATCACCTGCATTCGTTTGCTCTGCGTGTCTATCGTCACTGTCCAGGAGCCATCATGGCTGATCCTGACCACAGCCACTCCCAAACAAGCCCTCGATCCTGAATCCATAGACAGCCAATCAATCACCTTTCCTGTACTATACGATTCTAGAGTCACGGACCAGGACCATGGAGCCGTCCTTTAACCAGAAAACTGAATTATTCAGAACCTCCTCTGCTCTCAAACACTCCAGTTTATCAGGGAGTCCTGCGCTAGGAAAGCCAGCCCTCGGGAGGCACTTATATCACAAGGCTAAGACGGTTGTTCTGGGTCGAACTGTGTTCTTCCAGTGATAGCACAGTGAGGACTCTGCACCCAATTGTGACATGTGGGTACTTCCCCCCACACCACTGGACGTGTCTGTCTGTGAAAAACGTGACCCGCTGCTCACTCATTAAACAAAGGCTTATCGGGCGTCTTTATCCATCAGGCACTTATGCAGGCACTGACGGTAGACACTGGAACACAAGACAGAAATGTCTCTGCCCTCGCTGATGTTCTGATCCTCAGAGGCAGACAACAAACAAGCAAACAGATAAGTGAACAGGGTGGTGTTTGATAGCAATAACAAAAGGCTACAGGAAATATAAAGCAGGGTGATTGTTTCATCAATGTTTATTTAAATAAGATGTACAAACATGTCCTACAGGCCAGGCACTGTGCTGGGGGTGGAGTTAATGTCAAGGAGTAAAACCGGACGGAGATCCCCGCCCATTGGCCCTAAGAAGCAATGGACAAGAGAAGCCTCTTCGAGGAGGAGACTGTGGAGCTGAAGGGGAAGTCTTTCCAAAAACCTGTGGATAAAAAGGCCCTGAAGGTTGGCTTCTAGGAAGAGAAAAGAATACAGTGGAGCTGAAGCCGAGCAGAAGGGAACTGACACTTTCTGGAAAAATCCACAAGCTCACCAGTTTCCAAACCGTAGTGGGACAGGGGCACCCTGGAACACTTGGCGTGGGCGTGGAGATGGGACGACGATGGGAAGGGTTCCGCTTCCCTCTCCCACTCTCCCATTTTTTCCCGTGCCTGGAACACAAGCCTGAAAGGGACTTGTCCAGCTTCCTAATCCAAACTCCAAGGAAAGTGAGAGTTTCAATGAGGAAAAATTAGCCTGCCACCACCCACCAAGCAGAAGCCGGTCACCCCCCTTCTCCAAATGCCCAGGCTTTTGCTTCCTCTCCGTGGGGCTGGAGGGAGTTGAGACTCCCCCCCCCCGGCAATGTGCTCAGCCACCTCTCCTTTCTCTGCTCTGTTTGTTTGTTTCTTTTCTTAAATTAATTATTTCTTTTTCACTTCTCCACTTTGTCAGAGCTCAGAATTTATTCTGTCCCCAGGTGCAGAACCCCGTGAGACAAACTGTGTGTTGCTCTGATTTGATGGCATTTGTCTGTTTTCCCTAGAGCAGGGAATTCCCTCCCCCGCCCCCAGCAGCCTAAACAGCCCCACTTTCATCCTCCTGTGTGAGGCTGGGTGTGAGGCTGTTGGGTCCCACAACTGGCAAATAAAGGCTTCTACAGGGGCCACCTCTCTGCCAAGGTGTAACATAACGCTTTGGAGGGTAATTGACACTGGAAGTAGATCGTGGAAGTTACTCTCCATTTGCAGGTCACAGGTTGCCAATCTCTCTCTCGCTCTCTCACATGCACACAGTGATTTGCCACCTTCCCTTCTACTTCAGAGGAAGAAAAAAGGGGAGTTCAGAGGCGCGTCCCAGAGCTGGCAGGCAGGGGCAGGCTGGGTCAGGACCTTCACTCCGGCAGTCGGGACACTTATCGTGGGGTAAGAATGAAGCACCTCCCTCACCCCAGGGCTCAGCACTTCCCCTGTTTTCCAGCCCCTGCTGGAAAGGCTCTCCTGCTGGGGCGTGCTGAGAAACCAGCTTCGTGTCTTCCGCTGCAAGGGCTCTCATCCACCAACGACCCAGAGGCGCCAAGGTGAGAAGTTGGAAGAAGCCCAAGTTTAAATTACATTGGACAGTCCTGTCGGGAAATGGCAGGTTTCTAGAGGCTGGAGGAGTCCCCACTGTGTGTCCTGATGAGCAGCCTTGAGAGGCTGCTGTATACAGAGAAAAAGGGGGGCAGAGGGGCAGAGACCCCAGTTCCCAGTCCTGGGAAGTGACATGGGGTCACCAAAGTGGGGCTCAGTGAGGCTTCACCCATCGCTGTAGTCAGCCAGCCCTGCTCCCTGGCTTTGATGGGGACAACTGATTGACATTGACTCTTTCCCATTCTTTCGGAAAGGGCAAGCCCCGAACCCCTCTGTCCACGTGGTTGCCCTTTAAGAGAGAAATTTTGAAGCCACGCTGGTAATAATAACAATAACTCAGAACCACTTAAGGCCCTCTGCCATCCATCCATACTCTCAACCTCAAAATATTATATATTTATAGTATAATTCACAGTTTCCACACCTTTTTCCCCATAAATTTTTGTCTTGTATTTCATGACAAGCCATTGAGGTAGCAGGTAGAGGTTATTAGCTACTTTTGCTGCAGAGGAAACTAATGCTCAGAGAGGTTGAGTAACTTGCCCAAGGTCAGCCAGCAAATACAGGAAGTGGTGAAATGGGGACACAGACCCATGCAACGACCAGATCTTGATGGCTGGCCTTGCGCATGCTTCAGTCGGCCAGGGAAAACCCGAAACCGGCTTTCCCACCAGAAACCGCAGCGCGTGCTCTCAGTGACAGCCTTGTTACAGTGATTAAATCGTTCTGTGTCACTGACAGATTAAAAGATTGGGAGGCAGGTGGGCCGTGAACCCGAGAGCACCTCGGGGACAGCCTAACCAATGTAAGTCATCCATCACCGGGAGCCGGCAGGGCCCGGTGGGCTCCTCCAGCGCTTTGGGGGACGAGACAGCTGAGACAGCCGGGGCGGCCCTGATGAGCCAGATGTTATCTACTGCCATTTGCATCTAAAGTTCCTCATTTCTTGGCATGAATTGATGGAGGAGGCATAAAGGGGGGGTATAATGAGGTTGGCACTTTGGATTCCTTTTTGACCCCGATTTAGAGCAGCCTCGAGGGGCAAGTTCCCCGAAGGTTAACTGACTTTAGATGATGAGCAGGAATATAATTAGACAACTTAGCCAAGAAGCATCAGGGGCCTGTGGAGGGCAATTCAGCAGAATCTATCAAACTTTAAACGGATGAATTAATCCTACAAACACAGGTTGTCATGGGCCAGATGAAGCATCCCAAGGACATTCACTGCAGCACCTGCCTGCGTGCAGGTGTGCTCCGGAGACTGCGGCTTTGGCTCCAGACCATCTCGATAAAGCAGTATCATAGTAAAGCAAGTCACACACATATTTTTGGTTTCCTAGTGCATGTAAAAGTTATGTTTATACTCTACTGTAGTGTATTAGGTATGCTATAGCATTATGTCAAAAAATGTACATACCTTAATTTTAAAATACTTTATTGCTAAAATAGGCAAACCATCATCTAAGCCTTCAGCGAGTTCTAATCTTTTTGCTGGTGGGAGGGGCTTATTTTCAATTTGTAAAAAAAAAAAAAATGTAATATCTGTAAGGTGCAATCAAGCAAAGAGCAATAAAAGGAGGCCTGTATTGAACAAATGCCTGTTAAGCACTGTAGGTAGAGCAGGAAATAGACCCAAGTAGCTGCCTTCATAAGCTTTCATTCCAGAGAGAAAGCGTTTACTCATTTATTCACTAGATCTGTACAGAGCCCCTGCTGCGTGCCAGACACCTGTTGGAGAATAGGGTTGCAAAATAAGATACAGGCATTTGGTTACATTTGAATTTCACATAAACACAATACATTTTTTTTAGTATAACTATGTCTCCAATACCTGCTCTCTTGGGACATAAGTATAAAGCACACTTATATTAAAAAGTATTCAGCCCTGGCTGGTTTTAGCTCAGTGGATTGAGCACGGACCTGCAAACCAAACAACCTCGATTTGATTCGATTCGATTCCCAATCAGGGCATGTGCCTGGGTTGCAGGCCAGTTCCCAGCAGGGGACTCACAAGAAGCAACCATACATTGATATTTCCCTCTCTCTCTCTCTCCTTCCCTTCCCCTCTAAATATTTCTTTAAAAAAAAGTATTCATTGCCCTGGCCAGGTCGCTCAGTTGGTTGGAGTTGCTCTGTGCACCAGAACACTATGGGGTTCAATTCCTGGTTAGGGCACACACCTAGGCTGTAGGTTCGATCCCCAGGCAGGGCACATACAGGAGGCAACTGACCAATCTTTCTCTCTCTCACATTGATCTCTCTCCCCCCCCCAATTCCTCTCTCTCTAAAATCAGTAAAAACATATCAGATGAGGACCAAAATAAGTTTAAAAAAATTATACACACACACACATATTCATTGTTTACCTAAAATTCAAATTTAACTGAGAAGTCTGGATTTTAATTTGGTAACTCTGACAACCCAATTCTAAGAACACTGTAGGAGCAAAGGTTCAGAGACAAACTAAGTGTCCATCAACAGGAGACTAAGTAAATCATAGTAAATCCAAACAATGGGAAATTGTTACCAAGAAAATATAACAGCATAGATCTAGATGATGGTTTGGAATTTTCCCAGATGCGTAGTTAGGTGAAAAGAGGAAGGTTCGGAACAGGGTAGAAGCTGCCCCGCCGTCTCATAAAGGGAAGGAGAGGCAGGGATGAGGACGGAGGTGCTCACACCAGAGCTCGACCCTCTGGACGGCACCCAGCGAGGTGCCCAGCAAGGGCGGCGGGAGAACAAAAAAACTCGGGGAGAGCCAGGGCGCCACGACACACACTTTCAAATCCAAAAATATATCCATACATTACTTATGTTTAGAAAAATGTTTTTATCTTTGTTTTTTCAAATTATAGGGGAAAGTGTATTTAGAAAATTACAGAGGTGGTAGAAGTGAGCCGGCCGGGCTGTGTAGGCCGGGCTGCGTAGGCTTGAGAATCAAGTTACAGAAGCAGAAGGAAGGGCCCTTGGAGCGCAGGAGAGAGAAGGGCATTGGTGAGGCGCCCGCAGGGAAGAGCAGAGGGAAGGGAAGGGCACACGCCTGCTTCCAAGAGGGAGCGTGAGCCCAAACTCTTTCTGTAAAGAATTCTGAGGAAGCCTTTTTTCTCGGTCTGTTGAGATCTTGCTTCCAGGCATATCCTGTTAGACTCAAATACATTTTCATTTAAGTAAATACATACATACATACATACATACATACATACATATCTTTGGCGGGTAGGGCTGTAAGATTCCTAGACAGGGTTGCTGTAGCCTCCCCAAGGGTGAGGGTCTTCAATAGTCAGGGTTTCAGGATGGTCCTCAAGGCAGGAGAAAGGACAGAATGATCATGGAGTTCAACATCAAGAGCCATAGCCTACCCACGGAATAGGATGTGTCATTTTCAGAGCCCAGCACAAAACACTGACCCCTTGTTCATAAATTGAGAATTTCAAAACGTCAACAACAGAGCATTAAATCAAGAGTGAAAGTCCTTCTAAACATAGGACCCTGCTTGATGGCACAAGTCACATGCCCACGGAGCCCGTCCTGAGCACGCATGCACACGCACACGCACACAGGGGGCCAGTGGGGAGACAGGGGCAACTTTGCTGCAAGACACCCCAGCCCTGCAAAGCAGAGAAGACCCACAGTGGCCAGTAGCTTTCCTTGAATAAGGACGCCCAGAACGCAAATCCTCACAGAGCTGTTCTCCACACTCACCGCTGCTCTGGTCAGGAGCTCAAAAGAGAAACCAAAGCAGTAAAGTCAACATAAATCAAAGCCAACCGTGTTAATAAAATGGATCCTAAGGGCCAGTGTGGCACAGCAGGCAGGACATTCGGATTCAGGCAGCTTTAGTATCTTCTTGGACAAGTTACACAAATGGCTACCGGGGATTTTCCAAAGTTCACAAAAAAATATGCCTCGTGGCTCATTGAAGTCCCATTTCCCCAGCAGTAAATGATTAACTGAACAAACGTGAGCCAGTACAGCTGCTGTTCCAACACAGGCCTCCTGTCTGTCTGCACGGAAACCGTGCTCCATAATCTGCACTGGAAGAGACCCAGCACCAGTCCCCGCCTCCCAGAGCAGCAGCACCGGCTGCCGGGAGAGTCCTCCATGCAGCATCCATACTTCCTTTTGGAGTGGGGTGCGCAGCGTCCCCACTGAGGGCCCAAAGGAGAGGGACCGAAGCCTCAGAGTAGCAGGTCATAACCCAGCAGGAAGTGACCTCACAAGGCCAAGGACACCAGAGGGGCCCATGCAGACCTCCGCTGGGCGAGAAGGAAAAGGGGGAGAGGAAGGGAAAGGAAAGAAAGGGACTGTGTGTAATGAGAGCACAAACCGGAGAGGGGAAGGGGCAGAACAAGGAAGAGAGAAAAAACATATAAGCCTTGGGACCAAGCAGGCAGTTCCAAAGACAAACTTCCAGCTCATCACCGCCCCCATCTCAACCTCTAGAAGTCCTTCCAGTCCTTGAGGCTCAGCTCAAAGGACACCACCTCCAGGGAGCTTTCGCTGATTGGCAAGGATGTAAAGAAATGAGAATCCTCATATATTCCTGGCAGGAAGTCACAATGTCACTTCGGAAAACAGTCTGGCAGTCCCTCCAAACTTTAAACATGGAGTTCCCCATAGGATTTAGTCACTTCAGTCTGAGCTACACGCCAAGAGCATGAAAACACACATCCACACACACAGAAATCTGTCCACAGGCATTCATAGCTGCATTATTCACGAAAACCAAAAAGTGGGAACCCCCCAGTGTCCATCAGCTGACGGTGGCGATGTTTGTACCACTTGGGGAATATACTAAAAACCACTGAATTGTGTACTTTAAACAGGTGGATTTTATGGTATAGAAATCATATCAACAAAAAACGGAGAGAACTGTACATCAACAGAGAAAAATAAATGTTCAAAATTAAGCACTGAGCATTCCCCCTCCCAGGAGCAGGCCGATGCCTTTCTTCCCTCTTTCTTTCTCAGGCATGTTTTTTCTCCCCCAAATTCTACAGGTCCCCACGAGACTTGCAGCTTCCACCTACAGCTCGTGCTGGGTTCATCCCCTGAACCTGTCCCCAAGGCCCCTTTTCCCTGATTTCCCATGGGCCAAAGCTCTCTCCCTTTGCTCCTTCTATCCTAAGTCTTTCCTTGTTTCACTGTTCCCAGCTTTAATAAACAGACTCTCAGAATTTAAAAAAAAAAAAAAAGTAAGCCTGTGTCTGGAGGGCAGGAAACAGGTTCCCACCTGTTTGGCCACCGAAGGTGCCTCACAGGTAAATGCTCAGAACAGCTATTCATTGGAACCACCTGGGGGTCTTAACAACCTTCTGAAGCCTGGGAAACCCCCGCCAGACATTCTGATTTCATTGATCTGGGTGCAAACTTAGTAAGTACTGAGAGTTTTTAAAGCTTCCGAGAGGATTCTAATTGCAGCAAAACTTGAGAACCACTGGCTTAGCAAATGGGTGATGACCGACAATTCCAGGAAGCCAAAAGCCAGCCCCCCTCCCCTCCTGCACCTCAGAGCAGTCAGACCAGATTGGTCCTTGGCAACGAGAACAAATGTAGTCATTCCCGTGGTTCACCGTGCTGGACAGAAACAGAGGAAAAACACTCTTTCCACTTCCTTAAAGTCCATTGCTCTCTCCGTAAATGTGGGGTCGACAAGACCATCAACAATTGAAGGACGATCCTTTCCGCCACACTCGGTCTCCTCTCTCCTCCATCCCCCTCGGGCTCCATTGCTGCCCCCATTGGTGGATGGGGCTGGAAAGTGGGGGAGGCAGGAAGAAGCCACTTAAACACATTCACAGTAGTGTGTTGCAGGCTTTCCCAGCTAGGCTTCCCAGAGACATTCACGTGTTCAAAGAGGACCCCCTGCTAAACAAAGGCATGAAGGGCTAGGGACAGAACTTCAGATGCCGTCGGTTTTGAGAGAGGGTCACTTTCCCTTGACTCTTCAGCCTGTGGCCTGATTGTTTGGCTTGTTTTCTTAGAACCCAGAACGAGAGCCAAGCTAGTAGCAGTCCTTGCTTAGTGACTTGTGTTTTGAATCAAAATTTTGTTCAGTTATAATCAGGTATTGTCTGTGACCTTTATGGGCTTTCTAGACCAAGCAATCTCACGCTTAATTGAAAGCTCTTTTGTTTTATCCACGGCTATTCCACGCAGGTGTGTCTTTTTCCCCTTAGTTATTAAGACTTTCAGTTGCAGATTACAAAAACCTATTCAATTAAGCTTAAGAAAGGGAGTTTATAAGATTACAGGTAGAACCAGGAAAAGTTAAGCCTCAGGGAGAGCCAGAATCGAAGGTATATGGTCAAGTTCAGGGAGTAGAAACTGGGGCGCCACCCTAGTGGATGGAGAAATTAGATCTCAGAGAGTAATAATCATCTAACATGAATGGAACATTTACCATGTTCCAGGCACTGGGCTAAATTCTACTCAGATTAAATGACTTGTACATGTTCACACACCTAGAAAATTGCACTGTTCCTTGTTCCCAATGTACCTGATTTTAACTTTGAGTCTGTTCTCTTCTCTCAAACTAATATTTAGCAGTGAATTCTTTTAGTATTTATATATAG